GTTGTTGTATTGAATTGGTCGATACCATTGTTGACCAACCTTGAGTGCCACCATTGGTATGTAATAATATGTGTCTGAATCAAGCTTCTTTGCCTAGGAGTTGTTTAATGCGAGATCAAATATTTTGATATGATCTTTGAATTCGCTGATTCAGACCATTATGAAAACCTACCAAGGAATTTAGGAGAATATTGGGTGTGAAGTGTAAGTATAGGGTGTATCGTTTTGGGTGTTTTGGCCTGTTTACTTACACCGACATCCCACACCCCGGTCGGAATCGACCATAATAAATTTTGTCTTGGAGCGGTGGCATCTACCTACATATTCAGGAAAGAATCTGCTGCTTATTGTATTTAAAGCTATGCATTCAATAGTAATTGGACATTCGTGCGATTAATCCTGTTCGTTGCAGCAAATATACCCAGTAAACTATCGTAGTTTTTTTTAATTTTATATTTAAAACAATTGAAAACATGAAAAGAGAAAACGAACTATTGACCAATATTCGATTTTCGATGTGGGTATATCGGTTTGATATTGTCTAAAATGAAAATAATGAATTAATTCAGTATTATAAATTAGTCGAAGTAATAATCTCAAAGAAGATACAAATTATGAAATGAAATATCAGTGACATTTTTTTTTAGATAGTTTACGATGAAACCACTCAAATTACACAACATACTTGACTTAGTCAATACTTTATTTAAATATTCTTGTTACTTTGAGAATAGTTGACTAAATTTCTGGCTATAATGTAATACCACAAGCTGAATGAACAATTCATACTACCATTACAACTGTCACAAAGATCTTATTCATATACTTTATTGAATTTAAAGCAAAAGTTTACAACTGATTATGCAAGATATGGACACATGGCAAATGAGTGTTGTAAACAATTGCGACAACGATTCTATCCCAATGTTTTGCTCCATCCAAAGCAAAGATTTGATACTGAGCACATGATCCACGAACACAAGACAATTAAATATTTCATAGCATCACAAAGCTTCTATCCAAATATTTTTCTCCATTGATGCTATGATTATGAGTCTTTCTCATCATTCATGCATGCACGATAAATGAATAATTTATACAGAAAAATTTCTATTGAAATATTTTGTGGAATTCGAAGCAACGCTTTTGAATTGATTGCTTAATTGAAAAATACACAGCAGATGAGTATTTCGAACAAAAGATTTATCGACATACTTTGATGGATTCAAAGAAAAAGTTTCGAAATAGTAAGGCTGTCGACGAACACGCGGCAGATGTATTATTCGCATAAACTAGAAAAGCAGTACGTTTCTATTCTAATATTTTGTTCAGCTCACTGGAAAGTTTTGGTGTTGATTATATGATCGACGAAGACCTGCCTAATAAATATTTGGCAAAAAGATTCTGTTTAATAATTGTGCTCAATGCCAAGCTAAAACTTGTACTTGGTTTCATGCAAGACGATATATGATCAATGAATAATTTACAATAATAGTCGATTCAAATATTTTTGTCAATTCGATGCAAAGATGTAGAATTCATTACATGATTGATGAATACACAACAAATAGATACTTCATACACCAAAGATTTTATCCAAATATTTTGCATAATTGAGAACAACTCTTGGGAACTAATCATACAATTGACGAATACAAGAGAAATTAATAGTTCATATTACAAAGACTTCATACGAATATTTAACTCACTTCGAAGGAAAGATTTGTAGATAATTACACGATCAATGACATACAATAAATGACTGTTTGATACAAGGTTTCAATTCAAATATTTTGCTGGATCAGAAACAAAGATTCGGTTTCTAGTCGTGATTTATGAACGCATGCCAGATCAACAGTTCTATTATCAACATTCTATTCCAATATGTGGCTCAACTGGATTAGAATGTATCATCTCATCACATAATCGACGATAGATGACAAATGAATAACTGATATCATTAATAGAACTTTATTGGAATATTTGCCTCAATTGGATTAGAAAATTTACAGCTTATGACATGAGCGACAGCATAATACGACAAATGAATAATTGATATCAAGGTTCTATGTTAATATTTTGCAATATTTGAGCTCATGATTTACAGTTCATTACATGATTGGTGAACGCAAGAGAAATGGAATAGTAGGAATTACTACAAGAAATCCATTCAATTATTGCTCATTTCGAAGTAAATATTTGAGGTCGGTTATAGTATTGAAGGTCGTTCGATAAATGAATAATGCCAACAACAATTAGTTTTATCATCAAAATTCTATTCAGATATTTTTCTCAATTCTAGCAGGTAGACACAGTTGGCATTATTATCGAAGATCACACCGGAAATAAACATTTTTTGCCATTATGATTATGACCAAAGAGAGCAGCAGAAAAAAACAGAGATGGAGAACTGTGACATTAGTAATTATTGTGGAGGTTTTATGATGTTTGTTGCCTAACTGTTGCTTTTATATGCTTTTCGATGGACAGAAAGGAGAAATATCATGAGTGTTCTTCTGTTGAGTGCGTTATTATAAAGAGCAAAGGTAATCAACAGAAAAATTCATTATTAAGGAACGAACGAGCGAACGAAATAAAAGGGTAGAACCTTGATCTCTTAATTGATGCATAGTGTTTCCGATGCACATGTGCGTAGTCAGAGTCAAAGTGCTCTGCATGGACTAAAACAATAAATAGATTCGCAAAAGAACAACGCCATTCATTCACTCTGTTTTCATCAAATCACTTTATGAGCTTCTCTTTCTGTTTTTTTTGCGTTATGCTGCTGTTCCTAAAAGAAAAATATTACTTCTCTTTTTGCATTTTCGACGTAAAAATGTGTACATGAATTAGAAGATCAAATAGAGCATTATAAAAAATTCTAATGCGACGGAATAGCTTGAAGATGAGCGTGATGATTACCTTTAAAACCTACGCCACCATTCGCACCCACTCTCACTCTCAGGTTATCCTGAAAGACCTAAACCGAAGAGAAAAAAAGCATCTAAATTACTGACGACAGGATATCGAGTTGATGACTGAATTATAACATGCTGGCAGTGATAGTAGTTACTACTGCTAGAATGTTTGTCCCGATCTGAAACTTTAAATAAGCAATTGCTACAGATGGTCATAAAATGAATCAATCAAAAAATCAGGGGCACTCTTCACTGTAAGTAGCTTTCATTGTCACATTCTCTGATAGCGAAAAAGCTCTTTATTGAGTGTCTATCGCAGTCTATGTGGAACTAAAAGTTATTCCCGTATGCTTTAACACTTCTTGTCAATCGTGTTCTACAGAACATCGAAATCAGAGCTTTGATTTCAACCATATTGTGGATGATTCCCGTTGGTTACAGATGATCTCTAATAATTTTATATCATTGCCAGTCATCTGTCATATATCTAACAAATTCTAATAAATTCTATAACTAAAAACGAATTGGTTCACTCTTGGTTGATACTTAGGGAGAGATAGATACTTCAGTTCGTATTTCAAAATTTTTCCTTCCTTGGCTAACACACATAATTCTAAAAGCTTACCAATACTTTAATTACTGAGTCAAAACATCGCTGATAGTTTTGGTTATCAAAATGAAGATCATGGATAACAAAATCACTGATATCCGCATCGCCGAAGTACATACTTATGTGCAAAACAGTCAATATATGCATTCGAATTTGTTATAAGGATTTCCCGATATTTCTAGTATAGTCCTTATCGAGCAAAAGCGCTTTCAAAAGAATTCGTCGAGTAGTTTCATCGACTCGCCATTGATCTTGATCTCAGATGTTGCTTATGTTGCTTTATCTCGTTGGATAGTGAAGTTTAAGGATGGCATTTTCTTTCAGTGCTTTACAAAAACTTTACGACAATTGAGAGAAATTCTGGATATCCATAGGATTGATGATGATCACATGTGGAAGGAAATTGTTGTATTGCATATGTTCTTTTTACCAGTAATTCTTCGCTGAAATCAAGCACTTAGAACTTTTTAAGATAGGAGAATCGAATGAAACGTTGATCAACTAAACCAATACATTTCAAGTAAGATTTGAAAGCATGAAATTTCAATAGTAAGTTCTGCATATCTTCAACAGGACGGTTCTTCAAAAATTCTCAAATTACTGTCATTTCAACATTAAAAGAATGCTGAATCCATTAATGAAAAGAATGAAAGAAGATATATTCCACCCTCATTTACAAACGTTACTGAAATTTATGATTTTAATATCGAGCAATGGTAGATGTCCATAGATTCATTAACCAACACGAAATCTCTCTAAGGAACAATGTTATCAGCATAATTAGTTTTGAAAGAGATCATATTCACGTTTTTCTTGCTATTCATTACAGATATGATTTCTACCAAGCGACTAGAACACTGATTGCAACGATCATGTTTGTACTAAAAAAATAAGTTATGCAACAAATGAAAACACACTTGTCAAAAACTATTTCATAGTTCAAGGTATCTTTTGAAATATGGATGCTGTCACTTGATTGAAAATACAGAATTGATCACTACTACTGCTTACACCACATGAGAAGCCTATCATAAGGTATCTGGTCTTTACAGGAATCATTGTAGTAAGAGAATGCCATCGAAGTAGCGAAATGTTTTTGATCAAACCTAAATAATACAGGTATTATCCATCATAGATGATGAAGATTTCTGTTTACTTCGCACAGAATGTGAATAATCAAAGGAACCTCCATGTTCTGCAAAATGTATTGTGACCACTATCTCATCATTTTTTCTTGGGTTGATTATTCCAACTAATGCGGACAGATTAAGCATCGCTTGCTCTAAATCAACCAACAAAGAGAACAAATGAATATCGATTGGATGTACTGCGAGCGATTGTTTTTCCATTTGGAAGAAACAATCACTACCGCCAATGCCTATTCTTGCTTGAGAAATCTCACTAGCTTTAATCATCTTTATTGGTTTACCAGCCATTGCATCTTGCCAAATCGATGTTGAATTCAAGCGACACTAGAACAACACAATGAGAAAAAAGGATGTTTCTTCAACTCGATAAACTTGTACTTCACTATTAGCCAGTAAGTTATCTGTGTTAATATCAGTGAATGATCCATTGGGATAACGAGCATTAACGAGAATATTGTCTGCCAGTCCACTGATTTTTGATGGATCTAAGTGTTGATCAGTGATATCACTCTGATAGAGATCAGTATTCGTCAGATTTACTGCTTGAAAAACTCCACCTTTGAAGAAGGATTGTACGAGAGATGCACTAGTGAACTTTGCGCCATACAAATGATTGCCATGCAATACTGCTTTGGTCAGATTCACATTACGAAAACTAGCATTATAGAGGCTACACGAACGAAATGTAGCCCCAGCCATTGAAGCATCATCAAACACGACGCTTTGCATCAGACAACCATCGAACGTGATCTTCTCAGCATAAACACCTGGGAGATAAAGATAGGAAAAATCACAAGCTTCGGTTGACGACTTGACGAACTGCATTCCCATCAGATCGGCTCCACGTAAATCAACGTTTGCTGCTTGATCATGTCGAAGTAAATGATTTTCATAGAGAAATAGGATCACATCATGTTTACGATGTGCATCGAGATGTTTCAAGACGGTTAATGTTTGTATTCGCATTTGTAATAATGACTTATTGATATTCTGTTCATAGTCTTCATCAAGAAGGATTTCCTTCATATCATCAATATATTCTTTAAAGATAGTTTGACGATTAATTTCATCGGCTTGTCGTTGATCTTGTTCACGTGTTGCTTTGGCTGAAGCGTTCTGTTGAAGGGTAAAAACAATGGTGAATACACCGAAGACAATCGTTGGAAGAGCGGCAAGAGAAAGTTTGAAAAGATTTAGACATTGGAAATGCCTCAATCGTTGACTATACCTTTTTTGACGTTTCGTCAATTCAGAAGAATTTTGTTTAATAGATACAGATGGTCTTGGATATTCTGTGGTACTATCGAATGATTTTTTGACCATATTCTGTGGAGAGATAGAGACAAAGTCAAAGATCAAAATTATCTAGAACAAGTCTTGATTTAAGCTGCTTATCATTGTAGATTATTAGCAAATGCTGATTTGAAATATTTGATTCATTCACTGATAAACAAGAGCTTGGGATTAGTATTGATCTTTGAAGAAATGTTAAGATATGAGTATTAAAGCATGAGACACAAGTGACCTTTCGATCAAAAATAAAAGAATTGAATATATTAATCCGAAGATCAAGGTTGAATTTTCAAAGGCATATTCTAATTAGATCATTTCATCGAAACAGAACCATTCATCCTTTTTCATTACAGTGGATGGCTGTGAGAGTGTGACACCAAATGATCAAATTAATAACTCTCCTCAATTAACAATACGTGAGAGTTTTCTTAAACAAACATCTGAAAAATGCCTGCTTTTGTCTGTGCTGATGACATTGATCTCGATGAACGTAACTATATGTGGCAATATTAGGTTAGAAAAAAATCAATTAATTCTTTGAGATGCACGTCGGATTAGCAACAAAAACATCAAAGATAGAAGAAAACCTGTTTCCATTTAAATTTGAAATTATCATACGTAATATAGAGTGAGTAGTAATCTTAGAGCGTATTGTTACAGCCTTGGATGTGAGTATGTGTCTGGATGTGCGCATCTGAGTCTAGACTTGGGACTGGGTGTGGCTTTATCTTATCAACACTCACACCCACCCACACCATACCCCACCCACCACGATTATCCTTGATTAATTGGTTTACGATATATTTTTCATTTGCTCTCAACGATTCCACAATCAATCGTTCGGTTAGTTTTTGTTCTACTAAATCACAGAGATTTAGGAAATGTGTGCGCATTGATATGGTTTATTTTATTAAAAATTAAATTAAATGTAAAAAGTTTTATAAGGCTCATTGTGTTCACTGACATTCGTAAATCATATGGTTGACAGCCAGTGATGATACATGAAAGCTGAATGTGTGAACGGTCGTTTTAATCATTCTGGATAACAATTAATAGGAAGAATGGTAGATATATTACTGGCATAGATTTCTTTGTATTAATTGTCTAACGCAAAGGCGATGTAAAAAACAAATTCTTTCGTAAAATGCATTACGAAAAAATTGACTTGAGAGAATCGATACATAAAAAGATGTGGCAAAACTGAAAAAGTATAAGGAGCTTCCAAGTTGTTGAGCAAATGTTCCAGAAGCGCGTTCATCGGCTGTTGTATCTCTAATAGTATTGCTGATGATTGAGTAGCTATACGAACCAAGACGTAGTAGACTAAGTAATACGCTTAGAATAACTTGCATTACAATGATCTAAATTTTTGAAAAATTCATCAATTAGTTTAATTATGAATTAAGAACAATATCAGTTATTAAGACTAAAAGAGAAATAAATAAACAAAATCATACCTGGAAAAGTTTCAATTCTAAACGACGTATTCCTCGACGATTCGACATATGATTCATCACCGTTGCGGCTACTACTCGTTTTCGTGATTTTTCCATAGCCGAGATTGTGATCAGAGAAAAGATTAACATAAGAAGATGAGGCAAAAGTGTAATAATGATCATCAAATAGCCTGAAAAAACAAACGTATAGATACTTCCCGGACTAATTTGACATATATTGTTATAAATATCATAGAAAATAAGTATATGTATTGAGATTATAAAGCCGACTATCAATGCAACAACTGCCAAGCGCTTTGAGACTTTAATGTGACTCCATCTACGTATTCTAACGTTATCTGATGTAGACAAGCATCTATCAAGAGTAGCCAAAAGCATATAATTGGTGGCGAGTGCAGGCAATGTTACTTCAAAATAAACACGCAGCTTACAAAATACAGTCGACTGATTTAACAAATTATTGCTAGATCGATCAGTAGTCAAACGATTTATAACACAGAATAGAATAGTGAGTAATTGAAACACTGTGGCACATAATAAATAGAAAACAGTTGAAGATTGATGTATTTGTCGACCCGTGAATGTAATTACATTACAAAGACCACCAATTGTACCAACAATCACAGTGACAGAGTCGATACACAATGTGATGCGAGAGATGAGTTGTAATAGTGTTGCCGAATAACTGTTGTTAGTCGACATATGTATGTTTTTGCTCTATTATTCGATATAGAAAATAGGCAAAGATTCAGAGTGCAGTAAAAGCAATTTTTGAATGAATTGAAGTTACTATATGCTTCTTCTTTTGATGATTATGTGTCATTAGAAAAAGTGAATGTCCTCATTAACGATGCCTTTATAGCCGTGTTAATTAACTCTTTCACATCCGTGTGTGCTATCGTTATAGCTATATATGATGAGTTTTAAATAATGAATGAAAAATGAAAAGAGTGCTCAAGGAAGCTATTGAAGCACGATCTGTCTATACATAAAAGACACAGTTAAAATGAATGTAAAGCATTCTGACGTGCATACAAAAAAAGCTTTTTTCGTAGGCGTAATGATCTTTCTTTCAATAAATCTTTTTCATTTTGCCTCACTTTTTTACGAGAATGTTCGACATCTGACAGTCATGTTAAAGTTCAAACTTAAATTCAGTGAGGCATTTCAAGTTTGGCACATATGATATAAGCAGATACAAAGACAAAAAAGATTTATTTTGCACTCAAAAACTCCTATCCATACAGTATAGAGAAAAACTGAACATAAGTTTAAGAAAACATACTCGCCAACAAGACCTTTTACAATAGAGTCTATTTTTTCTGCCTTAAATCAATTTATCTATTGGCTGGGATAGTTTGTTAAACAAAAATATTTAAAATGCTAAGTAAAAGATCGCTTCTTTTGATCAATGACTGTACTGAATAATAGTACTGGGCCCTATTGTTCTAGATATATTTCAATCTATTGTTACAGTTTTTTGTTCTCATTGTCATTTTGAATGCTGAATATGATAAAATTAAAACTTCAGTTTTGTCTCAAAATATGAAATAGTCAGCTTTATTGAGAGCAGTATGCTTTCTACTTTTTTTTCGATGTGTACAAAAGATTAGTATGTACTAGTTCAGCAATTGGTTATTTTTTCCAATGGAACCTTCTGCTATTTTACGATCCTGCGTCATCGGATGTCGAACAATTTCATTTTAGAACGGGGAAAAAAATGAAAAAAACAGATTCATTCAAAGAAAGATAATTATGTCTATGAGAAATATCCTCTTTCTTGCTGTCTGTCCCCTTCTATGACACTGGATGGTTTGGCGACACATGTGTCCTGAAATTTGTCTTATAAGCTAAAATATGTCCCACTGTCAAAAATGCGGCTGAGATAACCTCAAATACAGCAATAGTACATGTTTTTAATATTTGGAAGAATTTAGTCGGGGATGGCGTAGTGGTTCTATGCATCTGATTATTAATCAGAAATCAAAAGGTTCGATTCCTTTCCCCGACACGGTGTCAAGACGTCTTATTCGATATCGGAAGAATAAACAAAAAATGAAGAAAAAGTAACGCACGCCACAATCGTCATCATTGACTGGATTTCGATTCTCGTTCTGTTCATTTTCGTTCTTTGTCATTCTTTCTCTGTTTGTTATCGTAATATTATCTATTGACTCTTATGTATTTTATAGTGGTGTAAAACCACAGACGTGAAAAGATGTTGTGATTACTCCGTAAGGAGATTAATTGTGAACCGATCATATATGGCACAATAAATATAGATGTTAAAAAAAAAAAAAAAAATATTTGGAAGAATTTCGGCGCACACAATTTTGTGTGAGCAAGAGTGTAGTACAATGACTAATCATGTGGTCATTATGGGTGGTAGATATCATTCACAGTGACGCGAGTTTTATGACTTGATTCTGAAGAATACTCTGTAATTTATGGAATCTCTTCTATTGTCTACGCTGCTTGCCATATTCACTGTGACTGATCACCATCTAACGAATAAAAACATCAACAAAGATTGGACATTTCAAGTGAATAACATGAACACGCTTGTTCCAAAAATACATTTCTTAATTTATTCTTTATTTATAACGAATAGTTTCACACTTCCGATGCACGCTCTCTATGCAGTCAGTTTGTAATTAATAGAAAAAAACTTTCAGAGTATTCAGTACGTGATTAAAATATCAAATACGATTGGCCTATTTCGTACGAATATGACGGCTAATATACTACATTGTTAGAGAAATAGGCTTTTCGAGTTTTGAATGTAGAAACTTAGAGATTCCAGGTTCAGAAATTCAAAAATTCTAAATTGAATCGTTCGAAAAAAATCATAATATAGGAGTTCGGCATGTCTGTCATGGTCTTTAAGGAATCCAATCTTCTCACTCGACAACTTAAACACTCGTTTTCTATCGTGTTTCACAAAATATATAAAAAATATCCTTGAAAATAGATCAAATAAATATCTCCATAATTTGTTTTCATGCTAAAAAGTGTTCTATTTTATACTTGTTAACATAATTAAATTGCAAAAACTAGTTTTGTCTACTACGGTAATAAATTCAAAATAATATGTTTCTTGCAAATTCAGAATAATAGTTTCTTGAATGTTTTTCTCGTAAGAATCATGCATTATTACCAATGTATAAATGAAATCAATCGATAATCACTTTGGATAAGAATTTTCTTCTGCTATGATTTATTCCATCGTTTCCTCTTCAACTTATTCTGTCCTCGTCTGTTCAAAGAACGTGTGAAATTAATTTTGTTTTTCCTAAGATTGTAGTGGTTGTAATCTTTTATCAAGAAATTATTCGATTTATGTACCAATGGGTTGTACTGCATACTAGGACTTGAACATGGAATTTGTCATAAAACAATCGTTAAAATAGTAATGTTGGATAGGTCAAGTGGAACACAATACTAAATAAGGCAATGCATTTTGATTAGGCTTGATAAATAGAAATTGCTTAATTTTCAACATATGTTGAATCATGCTCAAACATGAGCTGAAAACATTTATTGTAATCATTTTGTTTACAGCTTCATCAATAG